ACTGCTGGTAGGCACAGGGTTTATTTTGGGGGTGATGTAAATGTTCTAGAAACAGATAGGGGTATACAATACAGCCAATATACTAAAACCCATTGAGGGGCTGGGGATGTGGCTCAGGCGGTGGCGCGCTCGCCTGGCATGCGTGCGGCCCGGGTTCGATCCTCAGCACCGCATACCAAGGGGGATGTTGTGTCCGCCAACTAAAAAATAAATATTGAAAATTCTCTCTCTCTCTCTCTCTCTCTCTCTCCTCTCTCTCACTCTCTTCAAAAAAAAATAAATAAAACCCATTGAACTGTTCATTTTTTTTTGGTACCAAGTATTTTATCAGAGACACCCACTGAGCCACATCTTCAATCCTTTTTATATTTTTTCATTTTTTTAAGTTGTAGATGGACACAATACATTCATCCATCTATCTATCTATGTGGTGCTGAGGATCAAACCCAGGGCCTCACACATGCCAGGCAAGTGCTCTGACACTGAGCCATAACCCGAGCCCCAAGCCCTTTTTATTAAGACAGGGTCTTGCTGAATTGCTTAGGGCCTCACTAAGTTGCTGAGGCTGGCTGCAAACCTGTACTCTTCCTATGTGGGCCTCCTGAGTCACTGGGATTACAGGTGTGTGCCACCATGCCCAACACAGGGTATGCACTCCAGCACCAACAACTTTTAAAAGTATCTATTTTATTTTATTTTCTGATATGGCAAATATTGGTTGACACAACTCACATAACCTGAAGCTCTTAGAAGTCCTTCATGATTCTGAAGTTCCTGAGATAAAAAAGGGAGAGACTCCCTAGCCAAGGGTAGACGGGGCTGCCAGGCAGCAGGGCAGGATTTAGGGGAAACTCCAGAAACTGAGTTTCCACTCCTACATTCTTTTGTCTCCTCAGTCAGGCCAATTTCAAAATAGAAAACAGAACTACTGCCATCTGCTGTCACCAACATTTCAGAGGAAACAGCCAAAAGAGCAGGACCCACAATAACATCAATTATTATGTAGCATCGCCCCCACTTTACAGGGAGGCCACAGGCACACAGAAGCCACCAGCTGGGAAATGGCAGAGCTGGGATTCAAACCCCAGGCTCTGGGGCTGCCAACCCCCCCCACCTTTTTAATATTTATTTTTTAGCTATAGCTGGACACAATACCTTTATTCCATTCATTTTTATATAGTGCTGAGGATCGAACCCAGGTCCCCCCAGCACGTGCTAGGCGAGCGTTCTACTGCTGAGCCACAATCTCAGCCCTGGGGCTGCCCTCTTAACCAGGTACAGGCCACCAGGAGGTCCCATTCTAAAAATAAAGGCCAATCTATTTCTTCCTTCACTCAGTCTTCAAGATCCAGGGTATATTCTACTCTTTCAGCACTACTAATTCAGATGCTAAATTTTCACTGGAGATACTAATTTTTTTTGGGGGGGGGCAGGAGGTGGGGGTGGTAACCAGGGATTGAACCCAGGAGCTCTTAACCACTGAGCCACATCGCTAACGTTTTTATTATTTATTTTTTTATTTTTATTTTTTATTATTATTTTTGGTACTAGGGATTGAATTCAGAGACACTCACCACTGAGCCACATCCCCAGCCTTTTTTTGTATTTTATTTAGAGACAGGGTCTCACTGAGTTACTTAGCGCCCCGCTTTTGCTGAGGCTGGCTTTGAACTCCTCCTGCCTCAGCCTCCTGAGCTGGGATTACAGGCCTGCGCCATCGTGCCTAGCTTTTAGTTTTTATTTTGAGACAGGGTCTTGCTAAGTTGCTTAGGACCTTGCTAAGTTGCTGAGGCTGGCTTTGAACTTGTGATTCTCCTGCCTCATACTCTGAGCCACTGGGATCACAGGTGTGTACCACTGCACCCAGTTTCAGTAAATGACCTACATTTAGATTTCATAAATTGAATTGCAAACATTGATTCCCACACCCTGATTGTTCCATACTTAAAAGTTTTTCAATAATTGAACCAAATATTGGTGTTTAGATTCTGAAGAGTTTTTTTGTTTGTTTTTAAATATTTTGTTTTAGTTGTAGTTGGACACAATACCTTTATTTTATTTTCATGTGGTGCTGAGGATTGAACCCAGAGCCTCGCACATGCTAGACGAGCACTCTACCACTGAGCCACAACCCCAGCCCCTGGTACTAATTTCTTAACATCATGCTTGGCCAGCTGGTGTTTGAATTACCCAGATTATCTCCTAACCACCTTTTCCTGAAAAGAATGTCTAACCAGTGGCTCTTTAATGGTGGGGTCAGAAGTCCTTCAAGAACCTAAAAAATACTATATACTTTCTCCCAAGAATGTTGTAGACCAAATAGGTGTTCTGGTGCACGCCTATAAATCCCAGCTACTCTGGAGGCTGGGGCAGGATGACAAATTTGAGGCCAGCTGGGGAACTTAGCAAGAGTGTCTCAAAATAAAAAATACAAAGGGCTGGTGATGCTCTCAGTGGTAGAGCACCCCTGAATTCAATCTTTCATGCCCAAAAAAGAAAGTATAAAGACAAAAGACAAGTCAGTTTTAAAATGGGCAAAGGGGGCTGGGCTTGTAACTCAGCAGTAGAACACTTGCCTAGCCTGTGTGAGGCACTGGGTTCCATCCTCAACACCACATAAAAATTAATAAAACATAGGTATCATATCCATCTACAACTAAAATATATTTAAAAACAATTTTTTAGTTGTTAATAGGCCTTTTATTTATTTTTATTTATTTGTATGTGGTGCTGAGAATTGGACCCAGTGCCTCACGCATGCTACACAAGCATGCTACTACTGAGCTGCAACCCTAGCTCCTAAAAAATATTAAAAGAAAAAATAAAATGGACAAAGGATTAGAACAGACATTTCTCCAAAGAAGATCACAATGGCCAATAACACACATGAAAAGACTTTAATATCATTAGTCATTAAGCAATTACAATAAAAACCACACTGAGATACCAATTTACACCCCGTTAGGATGAGTACAGCATGACCAAAATGACAGATAGTAATTAGTGTTGGTGAGAATATGGAAATTGGAACCCTCACAAATCACCATGGGAATGAAAAGGGGTGCAGCCACTTTGCAAGTTCCTCAAACCCTTAAACGGTCAGTATTTACCCAGCAATCCCACTTCTAACAGAGGGGAAAATGTATGTCCACATAAAAACGTGCACAAAAAATTCTGACAGCATCATTATTCATAATAGCCCCAAAGAGGAAACTCTCTGTCAACTGATGGAGACAATGTGGTCTATCCTTTACAGTGAAATATTATTCAACCATAAAAAGAATGAAGTACTGCTATATGTTACAACACTGGAGAACCTTGAAACAGATGCCAGGTAAAAGAAACCCACAGAACACATATTGTATGCATTTAAGTGAAATATGCAGATTAGAGAAATCCACAGAGATAGAATGGAGATTAGCAGCTGCCTAAGGCAGAGGTGGGGGTGGAGTGGAAAGAACTGGGAAAAAATGTGGAATGAGATTTCTTTTGGGGATGATGAAAATATTATAAAAGTGATAATGGTGACAGTTGCACAACTCTGAACATGCTAAAAACCACTGAACTGTGTACACGTTAAATGGGTGAACTGTGTTACATTAATGTTATTCCACTAAAGCTGATTAAAAAAAAAAAAAAAAAACAGATGGTTGGCTGGATTTGAGTTGGCCCTACAGACTGTAGTTAGCTGACGATTAGATGGTGGAACTAGTGAAATGAAACTCTAAAGAAGCAAAAAGAGCCAGGTGCGGGACTGGGGTTGTGGCTCAGCAGTAGAGCATGGTAGCCTCCCACATGAGGGGGTCCTGGGTTCGATCCTCAGCATCACATAAAAATAAACAAACGCAATAGAGGTATTGTGTCCAACTACAACTAAAAAAAGAAAGAGCCAGGCGATGTGGTGCACCCCTGTAATTACAGCGACTGGGGAAGCTAGAAGGATGGCAAGTTGGAAGCCAGACTCAGCAACTTAGTAAGACCCTGTTTCAAAATGAAACGTGATGTAGTTCAGCGGTAGAGCATCCCTGGCTTCAGTCCTCAGTACAAAATAATAATAAAAGTAATAAAATAAAATATAAAAAAGAAAAAGAAATGAAACAAAAAAAMCCCAAATTCTGATGGTGAGATGACCCAACAGAATAACTGTTTCAGTTACACCAAGGGGGTAAAAAAACCAAAACGGTGGAGCGAAGAGGGGGCTGGCTGTTCTACATTTGAGAGATTTAAGCCTGACAAGGTGGCCCACACTGTAATCCCAGCTACGGGAAAGGCTGAGGTCGGAGAATCGCAAGTTCAAGGCCACTTTCCACAATTTTACTGTCTCAAAATAAACAGTAAAAGGGCTAGGGGTGTGGCTCAGTGGTAGAGCACCGCAAAAACAAAATGAAAAAAAAAAAAAAAAAAAAAAAAAAGGTCTGGGAGACTAGTTCGGCAGAAGAGCGCCCGTGGATTCAGTATTGGGGCGGGGGGATCTTGAACATTCTCATAACAAAATATTAATACCGATCCTTCAAGGTCCAAATTCACACCGAATCGACAGCACAGTTAGGATGCAAACCAAGGACTGTCTGATCCCAAAGCTCCACAAAAGAAAAAGTTAACCCCTACACCAACCTCGAGAGGGAAGAGAMTGTCACAGGGGTACAGAGAAGGCAACCGCAGGTGGACTGCACAATCCACTACTGCCCGCTCGCCCTCCTCACCCTAGTGAGGCCTCCTTCCTCGACTCCCACTTCTCAGAGCCCCGGGAATCCCAGCTCCTCCTTCCACTGGGACCTCCGACCCATCGCCAACAACCGCCAAACTGCCCGAATGAGAGCTGGCTACTTCCAGAGGATGCTGGRAGATGTAGTTCAGCCTCCAGCTTGGATCGTCGGGAGAGCTCGAGTTATGACAGCGAATCGAGAATTCGAAATATTGCCCCTGTCTCCCTTAGAAACCCAGGGAGATAGTCCGAGAAGGACCGCAGCAACATTATCCCTCCAACTCCTAGAACTCACCTCACAATCGACGCCGAGTCGTCGAGTCGCTCCGACTGTGCCCCTACACCGGAAAGAAGTGCTGTTTTCTCACTCTGTTCCACCTACTTCCGCCCGGCCGCAGATACCGGAAGTAAAGGTGCCCCTAGCGAYGGGGGTGCCTCTACTAGCTGGGTAAGTCCTTTCTTTTTTCTCTTCCTCCCTCCGGAAACCTGAGAGACAACTCGAAGGTTCCGGTTAGTGAAACTGGCGCGACTATGGCGAACGCTTTATATATACTAGGCATTTCCTAGAGCGGACGATTTCCTATTTTAATTCCAATGCTTTTGAAACTCTCCAAGCCAGATTTCAAGGACTAACCACCTCTCCTTGAGATTGGGATGCCTACATCCCCAAATATAGTATTTATTTTTCATGCTATAGCTTAACAGGTAGAGAAGTGAGAACACCTCTGTTCCCATTTTATAGATATAGCAATAAAGACATCGTAAGTCAAAGCCATTGAAGTCATCCTCAGAAAATAGTGATTTATTGCGGTATCGCCCGACTATACCAGGGACCAAGACATATCGTTTCTGTCAATTCTAGGTATCTGGAGAACCAAACATTTATTTCCCTAGCTCAGCCAGGCAGGTTCCCACCGGCTAGCCGACCCCTAAGGGGTCGGGAGTGGGGGTGGGGGTGTGGGAGGAGTCGATGCAAACCCAGTCCCCTAAATGCCCAAGGGTATTGGGGAGGTCTCTAAGGAGCTCTGGCCCTTAGGCCCTTTGTCCTAAGGTCCCTTTAAATACTTTGTCCCTAACCTGAGTCCCGCCCAGGGCAGGTAATCACAAGCCCCGCCTCTCTGCTAGAAACCGAGTCTGGTTACCGGGAACCAAGTACCCCTTCTCCCTCCCCCCGCCCCTCTCCCCTACCCCTTTTCACCTCTGGCTACAGCTGGCTGAAGAGATCCCGATTAAGGAGGAGGGGCAGTGCTCACAGGTCTGGGCAGGTAAGTGAATATTCCTAGAGGCAGAACCTGGTTTGAAGACCCTGGTTTTCTTGCTCTCCACCACTTTGAGGCCCAGAAGTTTGGGACCCCCAGACCCAGGAGTCCAGAGCCCCTGTTTTCTCATGCCCTCTAACTCCAAAATACAGAACCCTTCCACTCCTGTAGTCTTTGATCTCTGTGAGTGGATGTGGCAATGGGCAAAGGAAAGTGTAGGTGGAAATTGCGAAGAAAGACGGAACTGATCACCACCGGACCTGTTTATGAGCACCTACTAGGTGCCAAAACCAGTTGGGTGCTGCGGACACAGTGGAGGACAAGCACTCCTGTGCTTATCTCTAGAGGAACTCGGCCTTCCTCCAAAYACTGGCTCTGACATTTGCAAACTGTATGACTATGGGTGTTATTTTACCTCTCTGGGCCTTGGTTTGCTCATCTATAAAATGGGATAATAATAGGACTGCTTTGAGAATTAAAATGAGTTGATACAGGTCCGCAGAATGCGGGCTAGCTAAGTGCCAGTTCTTACTTTCATGCATGACGAGTCCAGGAAGAGAAATCCTGCCTCATTCCCCAGGGACTGAGGCACCTGTCATCTATACTGTACTTTGTTCCAAGTGTCCACAAAATATGAAGGGCCACCCTTCTCTGCTGCTGCTCTGTATGGGATTGACAACCTGCCTGGATAACTCACCCAATGGAAAGCAAGACCAAAGTGAGTACTGGGGGAAGAAGCTGTGTGCMGAGGCCGGACCCAGGAACCCTGCTGCTGGTCCACTCTTCCTTGCCCCAGAATGGAAAACCAGCCCGTCTTACCTCAAACCCGGGCGTCAAAGCCCCTTCCCAGCCCCTTCTCCCAGAAGACCTCATCTTATGTCTGCAGCTCTAGGGACTCTCTATTTTTCTTTTTCTTTCTTGTTTCTTCCCTCCTTCTTCTCTGGGGCTCAAACTCAGTGCCTCACATGTGCACGGCCGCACCCTACCACTGGGCCCTATGCTCTTCTTTAGGACCAGACTTCTTCTTGGATTCCACAGAGGCCCAGAGTTTCCTGGGTAGCCACAGGCGGATTCCAAGAGCCAATCACTGGGACTTTGAGCTGTTCACACCAGCTAACCTGGAGCGGGAGTGTAATGAGGAAAAGTGTTCCTGGGAAGAGGCCAGGGAGTACTTTGAGGACAATACTCTGACGGTGAGGGCTGGGGGTGAAGGGGACTGGAGTTTGGGGCCCTCTGTCTTCTCCATGGTGGAGGTGGGAGGTCCTGGCCCTCAACTTCCTCCTCCTGCGGGTCTTAGCAAGGTGGACTCGTTTTGGGGTGTTGTGGATCCCCCACTTGATTTGCTGTCTTCCCTCCTTCTTTTCCACCCCTACCCCTCAAGGACCGCTTTTGGGAGAGTTACATCTACAATGGCAAAGGAGGTGAGTTCCGGCTGAAACCTTTTGTTCCAGGCAGCCCCTTCCCATGGAAGCCAAAGTAATGGGAAATTAGGCAAAAGAATTAGCTGCCCTCACCCTTATTAAGGAGACCCCTCCCTTGACACTGTAGCCCCTGTCTGAGACTCACCACACATACCCTATTAGCTTTCAGGGGAGGCCCCATGTCTCCAGGAAAGGGAACATGCCATGGAGGGAAGAGCTTAGCCCTGGAGCTCATTAGAGGGGCAAGTGCACTGAGCCCCAGCCCCTTTGGGGTTTGCTGGTTACTAGGGGGGGCTGCTCCTTAGCAACATGGGCAGAGCAGGAGGCTTGGCCATCCTTACCTGTCCAGTTTACCCACCCCCGGCCCCTTTTCTGAGTTCTGAGGCCCCATCTTGGCTGCAGCTGTTGCTAAGGGGGGCTGCTCCTTAGCAACGGGGCCTGGTCAGGCCAGACTGAGGAAGCCTGAAGCACTACCTGGCTGGCTTCCCCTCCCCCACAACCCCAGCCCAGCTTCAGTGGCCTGGTTGCTAAGGCGGCCTTCTCCCTAGCAACTGCGCCTAGCTGGAGGACCCAAGGCTTCCTGCCCACTGGAGGATCCCCCTCTGGGTACCAGATGCCCCACCCCCTGGTGGCCTGGTTGCTAAGGTGAATGCACCTTAGCAACAGGCCCTAGGCCTGGGCTGGAGTCCTCACATTGGAGCCTGGTTGCTAGGGGAGGTAACTCCTTTGCTACTGTACTGGGGAGGTCTAGTGGTTCCTTGAATCTACCTGAAACCTGCTTGAATTGGAAGGACCTGCCTTCTCAGTGCAGGGTTTTCTTAAGGAAGTCAAAAAGTCCCAGTGATTTAGTTTGAAGGAAGCCCCTCCAGCCCCCACTGTCAATAAAACTGCCCCCAGAAGTAAGTGCCAGCAAAGCCTCACAAAAGAGGTCTCCCTGTGCTCCCTCAGATTAGCAACAGGTCCATGTGAGTTTTGGACACATAATTATTAGGAAGTGTTCCCTAAATTTCTCTATGAAGTGAACGCTTCCTAGCTTGTCTGGTAAACTCGGAAACCTTCCTGTAGATTTTGTTCTTCCTTTAGAGTTGAGGCCTTACTTCTCGGTGGCCTGGTTGGTAGAAGGGGTTGCATTCCAGAGCAGGCAGAATTGCCAGATAAAATATAGGAACCCCACCTCCCCCTGACTCCCGTGCTTCCTGCAACAGTTAAATTTAAACTTAAGATATACAATGAATAGTTTTAAAAGTATAAGTGTATCCTAAATACTGCATTGGATATTCTTTTTTTTTWAAATTGTTTTTTAGTTTTAGGTGGACACAATATCTTTATTTTATTTTTTATGTGGTGCTGAGAATTGCACCCAGTGCCTCAGGCGCTACCACTTGAGCCACCACTTGAGCTGGATATTCTTTTTTTTTAATATTTATTTTTTAGTTGTAGTTGGACACAATAACTTTATTTTATTCCTTTTTATGTAGTGCTGGGGATGGAACCAAGGGTCTTGAACGTGCTCTACCACTGAGCTACACCCCAGCCCATTGGGTAGTCTTATACTGAAACTTATCTGTTGTGTATCTAAATTTCACATTTAACTGGGTGTCCTATATTATTATTGGCTAAATATGGCAATGCTCAGTGTAGGGGCCTCTTAAAGCCACCTGAGCTCTGTACCCTATCTTCAATGTGTCAACTGCTCACTGAACAGATGGATCATATRGGAGGTTGTGGGGACCAGGATAACCCATATCCAAGCAGGGTCTATGTTGTCATAGGGATTTAATTCCCCTTTTTTAAATCCCAGATGAAGTTATCACAGGCTTTTATGCATTTGAGCTCACAGGGTGTTCACAACCTGTGAAGTAGGGGTGGGGCGATTTGGATATTGGAGTGGTCAGCAGTCTCTGAAGCAGTGGCTCCCTCTATCCACAGGACATGGACGAGTGGACATAGCAGGCCTGGCGGTGGGGCTGACCTCCGGCATCCTGATAATTGTCTTGGCTGGCCTGGGAGTCTTTTGGTATCTGCATTACCGACAGAGCCAGGGCAGGAGCCAAAGTCAGCAATCTTCTTCCCAAGAGTAAGGGGGCTTCAGGAGGGAGGGGCCAGGGGAAGAGAACAGGGGACAGAGAGAGATTTGACCTAAGAAGTTGGGGGCAGGATGGCACTGATAATAGAAACGTAGAGACAGGCACATGGAGAACATGTCTGTCAGCTGGCTCGGGTCTAGTTCGGGCAGCTGTCAGGCTAGTAGTAGGAGTTCTGTCAACATTTGCTGCCTGCCTATCTTTGGGTACCAGGTTTCTGTGAGATTATCACTCCAATATTGTACGTGATGAGACTGTTTTTGTGCAGCTTGTGAGCCATGGTTGTCTATGGCATGTCAGTTTCCATGGTGACAGGGTGCAGCATGTGTTGTGTGTGCTGTAAGTTGTCTAGGTGTGTCTTTCTCACTAGCAGGGTCTCAGAGGATATCTAAGTGTCCTAAGTTGTAGAAGTATACTGGGTTTTGGGGGGTGTTTAGGATGAGTTATCTGGGAAATTTGTGATCCAGTGTCTCTCTGGATCTGCTGAGTTCTGTTTCTGTGTGTGTCTACTTACCTACCTCTCTGCAGGCAGTTTCTCTATTACTCTGCCTGTATCTGGTGTGTTTCAGTGTCTGAATGACAGCCTGCATCTGTAGTTTTGGATTTGT